TTAAAACCAATATTTTCATGGATATGGAAGCCTAACAAGGTAACCAAGAGATGAGAAACAAATTGGATGATAGCTAATTGTTTTTAGTGTATTTTACAGCTGATTTAAGACACGGGTCAAAACCGACTCGTTAACATAAGAGATGGTAACAGGAAGCGAACACAAGAGGAAGGTTAAGTGGATCAGTCTAAGGAATTTCAGCTTCTTCCGTTATGGATACGTCAGAGGAACAAAGTCTGCAATTTACATTTGTAAGAACTACACTTTGCTGCATTTTGTCCGGAAATATAGCATCTCAAATTTTAATTGCATTTAACGGTATTTTATTCATGTTTTACTCATCTTAAATCCACACAACATTTACAAACTTAACAGAAAATGTTATTTTTTATTAACTTTTCAAGGACCTAGATGCATTTTCAATTTCTAAAACTTTTCCAGGTTTATTTTTTAAGGACTGCATGAATCCTATGTATCTGTTTATTCAAAGGTGGAAGAGCAGTACCAGGCACAACTGGAGGAGCAGTTCAAGAGACAGGAGGAGGAGGAGAAGGAAAAGGAGGCCCAGAGAATCCAAGAGGAGAAGCTGAGGTTGGAGATGCAGAGGATGGAAAAGAGAGGTTTCCAGGAGAAGGTAAGTAATGGTCTTAATTCCTTTACTCGGGTAACAGGTTTTTAAAGTCATTACTGAATGTATTTGCTCATGTCTCTCTGTTTTAGATTCACAGCAGGCCACGTTCTGCCTGGACATGAGTGAGAAGCAAGAAAATATATATTTTGTATAGTACATATTTTGTGTCAGCAGTTAAAGAATTATTTCAAGTATGGTATGTTATAAAATAATACTAACATTAGTCTGAAAACTGAAATTAAATTTACTCTAACAGTGGAAAAAAAAATTAACCTTTTTTTCCACTGACATCAAGGTTAAAAGAAATCCCTAAAATGTATTTAAAAATGTATTTTCTGTTGCCAAACAACTTTCACTTATGTGTTTAGCAAAGATGTGTTAAAATTGAAGTAATTAAATTATTTTGTAGTGTCTCTCAATGAAGTAAGGTATTCAGCTCAGTGCCAAGACTTGATATTTAACAACATTCTGAATCACGTTTTGGGATTTAAATTTTATATTTTCAACTTTTACACTTTTTTTACACTGAAATGGAATCAGTGCATTATGTAAAGGCATTCATAGAGGAAGCTCTTCAGGAATGAGTGTTATTATTTTGTCATTATGATTAAATGGCATTTTTTTCAAACACTGTCTAAAACAGATCGATCATTTCGACATTTTAAGTTTTTATGCCTTAAAATAACTACAATAAAAAAATATATAAGATATGACGAAGAAAATGTCCATTCTCTATTGAGACCAAAATCTTTTCACTGTTTAACAAAACATATCAGAAACTGGTTGTATTTATAAATTAAGTTTATTTAGAAAATAATTCATTTTACTATGCAACTTTAAAGCTGCAATGGCATCACCTCCAGGTGAGGACCGACCTCAGACGCACGGTAGAACAGTTTGTGTCTGGAGCACTGTCCCACGGGTTCCACATAAAAAACGCATCATTATCTACCTCTAGTGTTTACAGTAATATTTGATTAAAGCGGATTCAGGTATGGCTTCTCCCTGACTTTAGAGTAAATCACATACTCGTAGCATCCTGCAGTTTGACTGTTTTTTGCTTAGGTCTTTTTTTTTTTTTTTTTTTGCCTTCGACTCTTTTTAGTTATCTAGAAAGAATCACATTTTCATGACACAGCATTTTAGGTAATTCTTAATTTCCCTTGTTATTCCTGACATTGATATCTCATGTTTTGTTAAGTCATAAATAAAAATGCATGCATATCCCACAAATACAAATACCAACAACAACAAAAAACAATTAAGAGCACCGTTGAGATGCTGCCTGCTCTGCCACCATATCGATGCTTCTAGTTTGTATTCTCCTTGGTGGTGATAGTGACGAGCTGCTTGGCAGCTTTGGCGATGTCGTAAGCACACTGAATGACCTGCTGAGTGACCAGCTGCATGTCCGGCCCTGGGCAGCCTTCTCGAGGCACCGCCTTCCTGCACTCGTTCTGCAGCCGGTTGGCACTGGAGGTCAACAAGCGCAGAGAGCTCCTCACAGTTTCTGAGCGTGGCCTCTGCGGGAATGACACAAAGAAATACGATTTAAAATAACATTAATATAACATTATGATACAAATCAAGTTCGTTTATCTCAAAAGTAGTACCTCTAAATTTAAGCTACAAAAGACTACACAGGAAAAACAGCAATACTGTAATAATACAAGACTAAAAACCTGTAAAGATATTTAGTCTAAAGGAATATTTTTCACGTTGAAGCAAAGAATAAATGACTAGTCATCAGATAGTAGGAGTAGTGACAAGAGCTGAGCCAAAACTAAGGTGAGTTTCAATAGTTTTTACATGATCTTTTATTTCTTTTTTGTTACTCTCTTCCAACAACAACTTGTCATTTATTAATTTGGATAAACCTGATTCGTAATCAGACGAGGAAGGAATGTGAGTGTGCAAATTAAATATGCGTAACAGAAACACAAAGTATTTGTATGGGAGTTTTAATGCGTTTTAATTTGTTTTAATTTGCATTTCAAACTTTGAATCTTCAAAGAGCAAAGTTTTATTTCAGGAAAGAAGGTCAGACTCCAGTCAAACTCAACATCTCTGAAGTTCAGGTGGGGGACAATCAGTCAATCAGACAGATTATTGTGGCAAAAAAGATGAATGCAATTCTTCCATCTCGGTATCCTCACACAGTCCCTGGTCTTGGGTACAATACCCAGCTGCCTGACAGTGAAGTAAGGCTGTTTTCATACCTTAGGAAAGAGGGCAGCCATTTCTGTCACAGCCACGTGTATTCTTTCTGAACATGGAATGAAGCTGTGGAGGAGACAAGGTCATAAGGTCAATAAAGTCTCCAGGTTATACCAGACATACAGATATTCATTACTGCAATTCTGTTGTTATCACATGCGTGACAACAAAAAAGACGGCACCATCTTCAGGAGTGAGTGAATGTAAAACATGTTAATGAACAAATGTGTAAACATGCTGCGTCTTTAAATCACACGGTTGTATTTAGAAATTGTAGACAGACAAAGTAGGTTAATTTGCTGCCAAAAAAAAAGTACCGGATGGCCACTTTATTAGGAATACAAATTCAACTATTCACTAACTAACTATCAGAGTATCCAGCAGCCAGAACCACCTGCTGAAGTTGAAAGACAGCATTATGAAGGAGGAAGAGTGGTTGTTTTACAGTCGTTGGTCATGCCATGGTTGGTGTTGGACATTAGACGTTTCTAACTTTTCACTGAATTAGTAGACAACAATTGTGACTACAGAGGGGTAACGGTCATGAATAGGAGAGAGAAGGAGGCAGTAACAGTGATGCAAAGGAGTTTGAAACTGTGCCTGCAAGGCAGAGACAGAAGCCAGAGTACCAGGAGGTGGGGTCAGGGGACCGCAGGTTGAGTGGCTGAAGGGGTGGGTGGGCCTTCTCAGCCCAGGGCACCAGAGTGCTGAAACATCCCAGACTGTGCCTGAGCCGACGAACACCTTCACGCTCACATGGTCTGTGAGGAGTTGGGGGGTGGAGGGGGAGGCAGGGTGACACCACAGCCACAGCGATAACAGCAGAATGGAAGAAGAAACGAGGGCAGGAAAGGGAAGATAACAGGGAAAAATCATAGGAAGCAAATGTAACTGAACAGAACAAAATGATGATGAAGGTGGAGGAGTGTTGGGAAACTGAAGCCTGAGATGAAATCCTGAGCTTAAATTTAAAAACTTTAGATTCCGACCTGTCGTGTTTGTTTTCCTGAGCTGCTCGCAGCAGCTCCTGGATATTCTTGGTGATCTGCTCTGTTTTCCTGATGACGTCTTCAGTGCTGGGAAGTGTGGGGTCAGACTCCGTATCCATGTTGTCCACCTCAGGAATAGAAGTGCCTTCTCCCAACCAGCCACTGCTCCTTAGCCTCCCCCTTCTGCACAGACTGTGATGTGAACACATCAGCACAGTCATCATCCACAGTCCCCATTAAAAGATACTTCCAACCATCTCAAACCTGCTCTGACCTGGAATCATCCATCTCAGAGTCATAGAACGTGTTGTCGTAGTCACTCTCTGGCACGCTGCTCTGCTTCTCTAACTTGGAGGCCTAAGAGAAAGAGTACAACACAAGACTATAGAATTGGATCTTGGCCATGATGCTTTTTGTTATGGATGACACTCAAGGGAGAAATAGCTACAGTGAAATTCTGTGAATTAGAATTACAACCACTTTTAGCTCACTTTGTTGTTGAATGGCCAATAACAAAGTGTGAAAATGACATGTGAACATGGATGGAATTGTTTAGGGCAGATATTTTTTTAAAAATGCTGTAAAGTAAGAATGTTATTATAAGTATTCATTTGAATCACATCACACTAGCCCAGACCCGTAGAATTGTAGTCCTATGGTCAGGTCTGTGATAAACTAACTATCAGCTGTAAATCAGATGTTGGTTGAAACACCATCTTTAATTAGTGGTTTTCAAAGTGCGGGCCGTGGCCACCTGTGGGGCTGCCAGAAAATTGGAGAAAGATAAGAAAAAAAATGTAAAAGAACCCAAAAGAACTGTGTAGGAGCCACTAAGCCCATCCTTCCCACTATTGTAGTCTCTGTCCATAGTTTGGTGAGGCACAAGGAAAGAGACAACACAGCAAATTTAAGGGTGCAGTGAAATCCTACGACCAGCTTAACATTGGTGAAAAACCAGTGAAGCCGATGCTACTGTGTGGAGAAGTTAGTCTGACATGGAAACGAGGACATGGCTCAGTTTTGGACTTAACAAAGGAAGGAGAGTGAAGACAAAGTATTGTATTGTCATTGCAGATTAATTTAAGTTGTGGATTTGTCCAGAATCATTAGTGCAAAACTTTCAAAAAGTATTTCTATCGGAAATAGTTAGATATAAATTGCTAATGTAAGGTTAGGGTTATACAAGTTACATTAGTTATTTTAGGTCTTTTTGTGTCAAAAAATATTTGACCTTGTTAAATGATGTTTAACTAAAGAAGACAAATGAAACAGTTACACAAAAACGCCAATCATGTCTAGCATGTAGTCACATGATGCCTGAAACCCATTTAGTAAACCTACTGAGAGGTAACTAACTTTTTAGTGGGAAGACGTGGTTTTATTAGTTAATTCACCATAACTGTGTTGTCTTTAAACTGTGTGATGTTCCGCACCACTGGTCAATTAGTTGTTCTCTTCTTTACAGTAGATAATTCATACAGAGACTAAACTTTTATTTGGCTTACATATGGGTCTAGTTTGCCTAATCTGGGCCACAAACTGGACACAAGTCTCCTAAAAGTAGTCTGGACAATTTTATGTAACATCTAAGTTTAACATTATCAAGGGCTACAAATACAGTGTATGCCACAGAAGGCCCATACTTGTTTAAATACATTTGACCACATCAGTCCATGTAGGCTTAACTTTTTGTTGTTTTTTCTCTTTATTTTTTCCCATGTTAATTTCAAGCCCCTCTCAGGCTCTGATTCCAGGCTTTTGTGGCAGTTCATAGCAGCTTTTGTTTAGTAGAGGGTTAGATGCTACCTTCAAGAACTGGTATGAACCTTGCCTAACAAAACCATGTCATTTTGTCATCTGGCTGAACAGTAATGATGATGCTATTCATGTTATGTTGATGACAGATAAAGACGTCTGGTGGTTAAAGGAGGCCAGTGGCCAGTGATCATGGTCATGCAGCAGATCAGAGTTAAAACAGAGCAGCAGACAAAGGGTGGTTATGGTGTTAAAGCTAGATTTACTGTGAGTGTGTGTTTTGGGATGGAAATGAAGAGAGAGGTGGAGAAGGGCTCTGCTTTGCTGCCAAGAAACTCAAGATTCAAATTGGAATAAAACTCATTAAAGTCAAAGTCTTCTGAAAAATCAAAGAATAAATGACTAGTCATCAGATAGTAGGAGTAGTGACAAGAGCTGAGCCAAAACTAAGGTGAGTTTCAATAGTTAATTTATTAATTTGGATAAACCTGATTCGTAATCAGACGAGGAAGGAATGTGAGTGTGCAAATTAAATATGCGTAACAGAAACACAAAGTATTTGTATGGGAGTTTTAATGCGTCATCAACAAAAACAGTACAAACCGTCAAATGTCCCACATTAACAGCACCTCATACAGTGAAGTACAAACGCACACCCACCTCCATAAAAGAACTGCAGTGACGTGTGAGAAACATTTATAATTTCAAGCTGGTGTGTTTTTGGACGTGGACGTTAGAAAAATACCCAGTGGCAAATGAGAAAGGGGAAAAACGGAGAGAAAAATACCAGCAAACAAAATGAAAACATTAGGATCAGGAAAAGAAAATGATGAGAGAGGAAACAGCAAAGGAGGGCAGGAAACAAGAAGTCTTACTTACATGAGGTGGGAAGGGCTGCAGGGTGGGAATACCCTCTTCAGGGTAAGAAGTGTCACCTTTGGGGAGATAGGGCTTCAGGCCAGAGCCAGTCTCATACATAGACATGGGCCGACTGGCCCGAGCAGACTGTCGGTGTTTCAGGGCCGAGGGACTGGAAGATTTTTTATAATTCTTTTTTCTCTTGTCTTTTTTTAGAGGGAACTATTGTAACATGAAGTGTTCTCACTTTGCAGAGATTGCAGCTGGAAAAGAGACGGTCAGCAATACACTAAGAGGTGCAATCAGCAAAGCAAGCTTCATTCCCTGTCCTAGTCTGTTTAGTCAATTATTTTTTATATATATAAATGGACAAATGGTTCTATAGATACCAGTTATCAGTTTTTTTATGCATAGTGCAGAAATTCAACCTACACCGACTAATATACCTGTAAACTCAACTTAACTCTCTTTAATTATAAAAACCTCTAGTACCAACTATTTCATGCTTTTGGTTTCTAAACATGCTAAAATATGTTAATCATATATAAGTACTATTTAAATAATATATATTTTTTAAAGCTATAGAACTGTAGGTATGTAACTGCCTACACAACTGCTTTATCAGAGGGACTGAACAATACAAGCACTACAGCTGTATTGAAACCAGTTCATGTTGTATAGTAATTGTATTAACATTTTGAGCATGTTATCTATATAGTAAGAGGAGAAGCATTGGTTAAAATGCACTTCCAATCCTAAATGGGATGGGTGGGCTCAGGGAGGCCACGAGGCATAAAAACTGTTCCAAAGCAATAAGACAAACAAACTGTTTAAGGCCTGGTGGAGGGGGCAAATATAAAAGAGGACAACTAATGTAGCCCCAAACCCCAGCCGGGCAACCAGAACAGATAACAATTGAGTCTAGATGTTCAAACACTGACCTAGCAGTCATCAGTGACCACAAACAGCAGCGCTTTGTTTAAATATGCTGGATAGAAAAGGTGTTTTTATTTGATAACTTTTAGCTTTTTTTTTGTCTGGGTCAAAAATTGCAAAGCAGGTGACAAGCAAGCAAAAGGTTGTTGCACAGGTGCACTTCAGGTCAAGGTGCAGCTAAAGCATAGACGGACTGACAGGTATTTTGTTCAAGGATGAACAAAATCAAGCTTATTTTGTCAGAGACGAGTTCAATGCAATTGTACTTGCATTTTAAGCCGAGGAGTTTGAAGATCAGATAAAGTCTGGTAATGGCTTGAGTTATAATTAAGGCTGCAAACTGCCCTGAATTGTTCAGGATACTGTTATTAATTATACAGGGCTAAACATTCTAAGGATAAGTCTACACTTGTTGGGCTGAGTCTACAGTAAGGACAGAGACAATGACTTTAAGTGCAACAAGGAAAGTTACTCTGAAAAGACCGGAAGATTTTTCTTCACATTCCATCAAAACCGGCAAATCAAAGCAAACATGTCACATGAATGCTAAATGGAAATACAGCATGTGATCTAAACCTAAAGACATTAAAAATAAAAAAACATTCTTGACCCTTCATCACCCAAGAATGTTCTTCTTTAAAATAAACAAATCAAATAATAAATACTTTTCTCAAACAATATCACCAAGAATAAAAAAAAATCAAAATAAATTCAAATTTGAAAAAGCAAAGCAAAAACATACAATTCAAAACAGTTAGTTGCTGTGAACGGAACAACCAGTTATTTTATGTCATGCTCCAACATGCATGTTAGTACCAGTGGATCAAATTGCATTAATGTAACAAAGAATGATAACAAATATTTGTATTGACTGAATTGATGCTGTTCTCAAACCCACAGAACAAACCAACCGAACCCTGTAGATTACAGTTAAGCCTTGACAGTTGGACATGCAGACCTAAACAGAGGGTGGACCAGCAGGGTGACGTAGCAGCTTCATCCCCCAACACAGCAGCCAAGTTTTTGGTTGATCTGTTGTCATTGTAAAGTGTAAGCTAGGCCTGCGTTTGGCAGAAGAAAAGCTGCTAACAGCTGTGGCCCCTCCTCAGGCTTGTCCCTCCCGCCTCCCCTCAGTGTTAGTGATCATATGGGTGGAGCTCGGTGGATACCTTTTTCTGCATTAGCCTCAGCTCATCACTCAGGTTGCTGTTAGCTTTCATGAGGTGCTGTATTTTGGCTTCAGATGCAGACAGTGCATTTTTAACCTCCATGTATTCTTGCACAGTAATAGGGCCGTCTGAGATGTCAGAGTCCAGACTCTGAGGGATCCACAAAAGAAGAGTAAAGCTAAAAAATATATATAGAGAGAGATTCACAATGATTCAGGCATATAATATTACAAAGGGACACTATAATACTTTTGTCCTATCTTCTTTGCTGGACAGGAGCTCTTGATCTGTGTCCTCATCGGATGCCACGCTGTCATAGTCGGGCTGGTCAATCTCCTGACTGTCACTGCAGTGTCTGACACCCACACTCTTCAGGATGAGTTCAATGTTTTCTTGAATAACAAGACACAACATTGAAAAAACACTTGCGTACAGCCGTTTTAACTATAAATATAAAACTCACTTCTGTGTTGAAGTCAGTTTCATTTAGAAAATAGTGTGAATATAGTATTTATTTGATGAACAGAGTTAATCAAATAAACACTATATTGCAGGACATGATTGCCTCTCCATAATTATTAAAAAAATACTGGGCATCACTGATGGCGATTACCAAGTTGATTACTTAGATTACTTAGTCATTGTTCAGTAATAAAACAAAGCCCTGTCCAGTGGGTTGAGACACTTCAGGGTGTGTATTATTAATTGTACAGAAACGATAACGAGTTGACTGTTGTGTTGCCACTGTAAGATGTCATTGCTTTCCGTAGCAGAAACCCTCATCACTTACCTTTGGGACTAGACACTGAATTGCCTTGTTGTCTTCGTTTGGCATCACTTAGTATGTCGATGACAAGAGTAGCAAATTCATGTGCGTTAAATCTTGCCAGCTTCTGCCTCCCCTGAGAGATAACAAAACACAACACAACCGTAACTGTCAGTTTACAAGACCAACCAGCTGAGGGACATGAAAAGTCTTTGGAGCAGACGTGCCTGGTTTCGTGTTGATGAATATTCTGGATTCACGGGAAGGAAAGGCACCACTGTTGTTTCTGTCACCAAGGTGCTGTGATTCTGGGTGGCCAACCACACTACAGGATGACAGGGGTATTATAGAATATAGAATAGTATGCAGATGTTTTTTTATAAAAATCATGGAAAGTAAAATGCGAATGTTTTATATCTGCAAACAATCAAGACTACGGTAAACAGTGAGTTAAAGATGACGGCAAAATGAAAGAATTAATGAAAAAGAAAAGCAAGACTTGTTCAATGTAATGATCAAGTAGCATTTAAATACAAGAATCATTCCATCACAACAATGTTTTCACCTTTACAGTGAGTTAAGAACACTTATCTGACATATCATAAGACAGTACCAGCTACACTCACCTCAAGTATAGAAATAAAAATACTCACCCTTTCCAGAGGTGTAATAACCAACACTGGACTTCCTCAATTTTTCCTCTCTTCCCTTTACACTGGAGGAGCCGCATAGACTTTTACATTTTCTCTAGTTAAGTCACTAAAATATCATGTCGTTAAAAAGGTATCCAAACATACTTATTGCGGCATTTCACATTTTTTCCCCAGGTGCCCCTAAAAATATTTTATGCAGCTCCTTCAGTGTTTTGCTGACACCAAAGCCACAATGACTACAAGACAAGGGCAACATAATATTCACCTTGTAGAACTCTTAGAGCTGGTAATTGTGGTAGAAAGAAACACTTCCTGACTGACTGGGTTAATCTCTTCCTGTGTAACCTGTACTCTATTCAGCGTCTGTGTCATTGAGGCCAGGTTGAGACCTACTATTAACATCTGTCTGTAGTGATGCAACACATAGTGACAATGACATGTACTGTATGACAGTTGATTTAACACGCTTCCTGGATGTTTCTGGTGATTTTTTTTCTATTATTCAAACTAATATCTTGTTTATGTAAAGTTTTAAAGGCGATGGACAAAAGCCAACATCTGACATTTGGCTCGAATGAACTCAGACTTGTTTGGACTTTTGGTGGCATTTTAAAAAGTGTGGAGAAAAAAAACAATTGATCAAAAAACTCATTCAAAAACAGTTTATAATTCTTACGGTTATTGTTATTTTTATTTTTTTCTGAAATAGAAGCAGCAGTTTACTGTAGTAGTAGCAAACTAAATGTAAGTAGTAGAATATTATTATTGTAAGTAATATAGTTGAATAGTAGCGATACAGTTAAGAGCAGAAGTAGAAGAAGTCATTGTGGTTGAAAAAAGGAGAATATATAAAAATAGAGGTAGAAGTAACAGTTCAAGTCATAGGATAATGTCAGTACTAGTCTGAACAAGTGTCAGTACTAGAAATAGCAGTAAGTAAGAGTAGTAGCAGTGGCAAGTATTGCAGTTGTAGAAGAAGAACTTATAGCACTTGTAGTAGTGCAAAAGATGTTTGTTTTTACGTGTCAATGTGTCTATGCTTGTTTTGGTTTGCATGTCTGCACAAGTGACCAGCAGAAAGAAGACAAAAAAATGTGTAAAAGACTGCAGAGCTCTGCAGAGCTCTGCAGGGAGACTCTTTCTGTCCCGAGGAAGGACCACATGTATACAATACAAACATGTTCATTTTGTTCCAAACACAACAACTTACCTGCATCGGTTTCTCTTCTGTCAACCTCATCATACACGTCCATGGCCAGCTCCTCAAATAAGTGATTACTGAGCTGCGTTCAAGCGGGTTGTAGTTATTAACCAGAAAACATTAAGCAGAAACAAGACTCAGAGCTTTGACCAAATCATCTACACCACTTACAGATTGAAGTTTCCTCTTTGCTGCTTTGGCCAACTCTGATAAATCTATACCACTGTAAACAGAAGAAAAGATCGTTATTATTATTTAACGTAAAGGTAAACATAGTGCATGCTTCATTCTGAATTAAGGGTCTCAAACTACTGGCTAAGGGGCCACTTCTGGCCTGGGAAACCCCCCACATCCGGCCAACAACTAGATGAAAAGAATTCAATTTTGCAATGTTTTTTTTAAATTTTATGTATTAATTGTTTTCTGTGTTCATTCATTAATATACTTTGTTTGATCACAAGAAATGGCCCCTCAGCTCATTTAAGTTCAAGAGCCCTGGTCTAAATTGTACTTACATGTTCCTTATCAATCAAAAGAAAGCAAAGAAAAACACATCAGTTAGAGACGAGCAGGGTCTTGACTAGTTTAAAACCTACGACCTAATTCGTAAAGTTGTTTGGTAACTGGATTGCAGAAACTCCACGTACTTCTGAGTGAAACTATAATATTATTTTGTATTGATTCCATCTCAGAGAACAGATAGTAAAAGAGACTTTGGGCGAGTTAGAACAGGCTTCAGAGCAAAGATACCATGATAAACAACTACCTGGCTCTGCTTTATCGCTGTCTTACAAAAGTCAAGACCCAAGACTGTGGTGTAAATGAAAATGACTATTGTCAGACTAACTTCGATCTAATGGTCTCTTACCTGTCAGCCATTTGTGGAACAATGAAGTGCTGGCCATTTTTATGGTCTGAAATAAAAATCAGTTCATGTAAATACAATTTGAATACAATGTTCAGTATTTTAAATAGATAAAGAGCTCCATTATGTTTCACAAACATCACATCATACCTGGTTTCCTGCCACACAGATAAAAAGCCAGTCGATCTGTCAGTTCATACTGAATCTCCACCAGTCGGTCAGCCAGCTCATGGTGGCCGGCTTCCCTAAAACGTACACGCAAAAAAACAAACATTTGTAAAAGGTAAAATGATATACTGTAGGTTGGACTTTTGACTACTTTACCTTGCGTAGTCAACAGGTGTTTTTCCATTGCTGTCAGGGGCTCCAGGATCTGCCCCATAAACAGTTAACAGCTCAGCCTGAGATACCTGCCCTGCCTTTGCAGCTACATGCAATGGACTGTTTCCTTTTTCCTAAAGAGGAAATAGACCTCAGTTCAGTACATAAGCCAAATGCAATGTTCAGCTCATGTATCATGTGAACAAGTCTTACGGGGTGAAAGAAATTAGCCTGTGCTCCCAGAGACAGCAATCTCAAACAAGTTTCCAGATTCCCTGTTCGAACACTGGAGTGAAGTTGCTGGAGGGTAAAAAACATAATGGAATAATAAAAAAATCCTAATACCAAATATTTTAAGATTGTATTGTCATAGTGGGCAGCCACTTCTCCTTACCTTACTCAGATCTTTAGCTGTTGAACTGTCATCTTCTCTGCAAGGAAGGCGATGGACAAAAGCCAACATCTGATATTTGGCTCGAATGAACTCAGACTTGTTTGGACTTTTGGTGGCATTTTAAAAAGTGTGGAGAAAAAAAACAATTGACCAAAAAACTCATTCAAAACTCAATTCAAAAACAGTTTATAATTCTTACGGTTATTGTTATTTTTATTTTTTCTGAAATAGAAGCAGCAGTTTACTGTAGTAGTAGCAAACTAAATGCAAGTAGTAGAATATTATTATTGTTACAAGTAATATAGTTGAATAGTAGCCATACAGTTAAGAGCAGAAGTAGAAGAAGTCATTGTGGTTGAAAAAAGGAGAATATATAAAAATAGAGGTAGAAGTAACAGTTCAAGTCATAGGATAATGTCAGTACTAGTCTGAACAAGTGTCAGTACTAGAAATAGCAGTAAGTAAGAGTAGTAGCAGTGGCAAGTATTGCAGTTGTAGAAGAAGAACTTATAGCACTTGTAGTAGTGCAAAAGATGTAGTTAGAAAGTAGTAATAGCAGCAGTAGAAACAGTAGTCTGTAGCAGAAGTAGTCAGTAGTAGTAGTAGTAGTAGTAGTAGTAGTAGTAGTAGAAATCACTCACTGCAGTTTGTCCTGGGGGTTAGCCTTGCGTTTCCCACTCATTACAGATGCAGGGTCCAGGAGGGAGTGCTCCCATATGGAGTTTGCACCGTTACCATACAAGGTCTGAACCATCTATCAAATCAAACAAAAACAGTATAAATACAGTCCACAGGGTTAGTCCACAGGTGTAGCCTACAGGTTTAGTCTGCAGAATGTCTAGTAGCTGACTAAACAATTTTTTTCCTGAATTAATCTTCTGTTATACAGAAAAAGAAAATCAATACACCTAAGTGGGTTCTGATGCACAACAGTCGTGTGGATCGATTTTATTTGTTGCTGAATTTAACTCAAGCGTTAAACAGCGGGTAAGGATGGAATTACCTGGAGGCATTTCGGTAAGCAATTCAGTCTCTAAAACACTTTTCACACACACACACACACACACGCGCGGGCGCACACACACTCACACACATACACACTGCAGAGTAAAATGTACTTTTATATGGAAAGAGTTACTCTAGTGCTTAGTTGTTACCTGGATCTGTGTAGGAGGCCATGGTGTGTGTGTCAGGTGCCGGACTTGCGAGCTGTGTCTTCCTAGGCTGCGGTGAACGCTGCAGCATTCATCACAAATCAAAACTCCTCTGTTTACCGAGGCCCAACGAGGCTCTGACAGGGAACAGGAATGATATCGCTAGCCACTGAGGTACATTTAAGAACAAGTCATTTTAACCTTATACTTGACCTCAGTTGCATTGTGAGAAAAGGAAGTGAAACTTGACAGTTATACAGTAGCACCTTCACTGTATTGTTTAGGAATTGAGGAGTTTTTTTTTTCATGGCAGTGTAAAAACAGAAGCACAGTATATTACAGACTCTGGTAGTCTGGTTACCAAATATAAATGTGCATTCAACCTTGACCTTAAGTAATTCAATTTGGTTCTGAAGTGTATCTTATCTATCTTATCTACGGTGGTGCGTCAATTATTTCCACATCCAAAAATAAGCTAAATTTATGGGCCACAGTCTGACAATTAACTGCCAAACAGATTGAGTGACGCAGCAAACGGACAAACACAGGAGCTGCTAAAGTATCTCAGCAGCAGCTGAGGAGCAAAAGGAACAGCTGCACAAGTAGCTGCTCAGATTCTGGCACCGGGCCTTCAGTTTTCTTCAATCCAGTTCACTACCAAAACATGTCGGTGCTGACACACCTTTTTTCCCCCATCCTTTTCTCAACAAGTGCTGCTAAATTTAATTCCACATTTTGAAACTCTAAAAATATTTCTAGCCAACAACTGGTGACAGTTGTGTGGAAGGGAAATCCGGGCCAGCTGTTGTGTTAAAGCTCAGGGTACGGGGTTAACTAACTTCAATGACATGGTGAGTAATGAGGAAGTAAAACATGAGTATTCACAAATATTTTGTTTGGAAATGTGATATTTTTAGGTTTTTAATAATCCAGTTGAAAATCTTTTACATCAATGATGAAATAGTTTTGCTCCATGGAGCTATTGTAACCCGCCCCCTCAAAAAAAAACCTAATTTGCATTGAAAGCTTGCAGTCAATTCACTCCACATCCTGTTTTGCTTCCTGTGCTTGCTGAAAAACATCACGTAATTTCTGCAAAAGTGGAACACAGACAAAATGCAGCCCTTACTAGTTCTTTTTTCAGAGAAACAAACTCCACTTTCTCTTACTTCATCATGTTTAAACCAAACAAATGTCTAATTGGTGACTATAACATCATCAAGACATCTGTCACCAATCAGTGCATACAAAGAACAAATTGCAAATTGTTTTGTGAAAAATTTGTAATTTTTTTTACACCTTTTTAATGAGTTCTTTTTGGGCATGTAAAGATATGATTATTATTATTATATAATATTATGATTAAATAATAGTGAAATTATTGCATCATAAATGTTAAACTTCAAGAATGGAAAACTGCTGAGCATTTGTGTGACAAAGCGTGTAAATGAACTGAGTAATTGTGTGACAACTGTAGCATGACAAGATATAAGTATTCTTTCTGTTGTTAAGCTAGAACAACCTGGCATTTGAGGAACCAAACAATCCTTTATAAATCAAGCGAGTGTGTACATCTGAGTGAGGAATATCACGGTAATCGTGAGTTTCAGGACGGAGGCGCTAGCAACAGCAGCAGAAGTGGAGCCGAATCCCAACCAGAAGAGGACGACGTTTGCGTGCACAATTCTGTTTGTTACGGTTAAAAACCTGGATCAGGGAAAGATAGTTGGTCAGACTTCGTGAACTGAAATCCTATGCTGTTTGTCGGGGACGCGTAGATCTGACCCGGAGCTCTAGAACTGCCTATTTTGCTGATTCTGTAATAAATACGAGTCAAGTCTAAAAAGCGTCTCCTATTTGCTCCATAAAAAACATAAGGTATCTGACTCACACAGAGATATTTCAGTAAAATTAGCAGAACCTAACAGGCGTCATATACAACCAGTTAAAGGTTACACAGTTTATATTATAATATTATATATTTTATACAGAACAGGAAGCAAAGCTGATTCTGAACCTTCAAAGCAGATATGCAAAGCACAGGTAAAGTAAAGTCTCAGAACCAAAGGTTGCAGAGTGGATGTAAATTAGCTTACCTGAGACACTACAATCAGCGCAGACGTCAGTGTTCCGCAGGCGTTTAGACATCCTTTAACTTTGAAGGAGATGCCTTTTAAATAAGCACACTGTAGTCTATGTGAAGCCTATCATTGATTACTGTGTTGGTCTCTTCCGTCTTAGCTACACCTAAGTTAGCTCATTATGAAAAAAAAGACGCGCAAAGCAACCCGCTACAATGTTTAAGTTCGTTTAACCATTGTTACGTTTCACTGTGGTGTCAAAGACTCAGCGCTGCTGCCCCTGAAATAAACTCCGACTTCACACCGGACTTGTTGCCTTGTCTTCTGTTTCCTTGTCCATGAGTTTAGTCCCCAGTGCGTACGTACAGACAGACAGACAGACAGACAGCAACAGAAACACTGCTCCACCGCAAACCAAATCCTGAGCTGCTTCTTCATAAGTTGATTTAACTGGCTGCTAGGAGCCAGCTTGGGGACATTACTGCCACCCACCGGACTGTATTGTGAATCAGGAACTCAAAAAAGGTTAGGTGTCTGTAATTCTAAATTTCAGCTGCAGGAAAATATCTGATAATAAGCGATAATAATAATAAAAACTAAATTAACACTCAATAAATAATCAGTTAAATGTATTAATATTGTTCTAAACAACAACCCAAAAGCATATATTGAGTTACAAAAGAAATTCAAAAATGTTACACCTGATCAAATTTCTGTTTCTAAATTTCTAACCCTAACCCTTTTTTAAGATATTCTTTAATTGTAAACAATTTAGGGAAGTTTTTTTTTAAATTTCTAGTAGCATTATTAAGCTCTGTGTTAATTGTTTAGCTAATATTACCTCATCAATTTGCTCTAGCAATAAGACAAAAATACACATTTGTGTGGTTTTATAGACAGACAGACGGACAGACGGACAGACGGACAGACAGACCGATAGATAGATAGATAGATAGATAGATAGATAGATAGATAGATAGAGAGATGGATAGATAGATAGATAGATAGATAGATAGATAGATAGATAGATAGATAGATAGATAGATAGATAGATAGATAGATAGATAGATAGATAGACGTAACTTTATTATAGGGAAATTAAGGCTTCAGCAGCAGTACAGCACCATAAACAACAGTAAGAACACACAGATTAAGTAAAGTACAATAAATACAACAAAACACAAAATACAAATACAAAAACAGTAGCAGCACAATGTTGAGAAACCTGAACAGTGGATGTTAGTAGATTAGTACATTAGTAATAGTAGATACTAGTTAGTGTTAGTAGTGTTAATAGATTAGTTGGTAATTATTGCTGCTATGTGTGGTGTTGCATATTGTAATCTCAATTATTATTTATTATTATATTTTTATACTACTATTGTTATTCCTAAACTATATTAAAGTTACACATACAGTGGGTACAGAAAGTATTCAGACCCCTTTAAATTTGTCACTGTTTCATTGCAGCCATTTGCTAAAATCAAAAAAGTTCATTTTATTTCTCATTAATGTACACTCAACACTCCATCTTGACAGAAAAAACAGAAATGTAGAAATTTTTTGCAAATTATTAAAAAAGAAAAACTGAAATATCACATGGTCATAAGTATTCAGACCCTTTGCTGTGACACTCATATTTAACTCACATGCTGTCCATTTCTTCTGATCCTCCTTGAGATGGTTCTACTCCCTCATTGGAGTCCAGCTGTGTTTAATTAAACTGATTGGACTTGATTAGGAAAGGCACACACCTGTCTATATAAGACCTTACAGCTCACTGTGCATGTCAGAGCAAATGAGAATCATGAGGTCAAAGGAACTGACTCAAGGAGCTCAGAGACAGAATTGTGGCAAGGCACCGATCTGGCCAAGATTACAAAAGAATTTCTGCATCACTCAAGGTTCCTAAGAGCACAGACAGACCTTATAATCCTTAAATGAAAGATGTTTGGGAGGACCAGTACCCTTCCTAGAGCTGGCCGTCCGGCCAAACTGAGCAATCGGGGGAGAAGAGCCTTGGTGGGAGAGGTAAAGAAGAACCCAAAGATCACTGTGGC